GAATGTCTTTCTTTTCCCACTTTACAGTAAGCCTGAAATGCAGCATTACATAACATTCAATTAAAAAGAGTCGCTATTAAAATTCAATAGAATGATTCCCGTTTTCACAGAGAGAATATCATGATAAGTCTATAACCCATTTGTCACAACCTGTTCTTAATTGCAAACAAAGAAAACTTAGGGTACACAACATAAGTAGCCTACAATCATGTCATATTCTTCTTTCAGAAATGCCAGACACGTAGCTCAGCATAAGAAAAATATAGTAAAGATTTGATATTTGATGCTAATTTACAGTCATTTTTACAGCAGAAAACACTGAAGCAAGACTAAAGTCAGATTCAACCCATAGAGCAAATATATAGTCCCAAAAAGTGTGCATTTTCTGGAAACTAAGAGCAATACAAAAGCTAAAATTGAATACAGATTCGAACATACTTATCCTACAATAACACAATAAAATCCAAAGCAAATTCCCCACAGTTGCTAAGAGAGAACTATTTTAACTAAGCAAACCATCTGCTAAAGACCTTTTTCTCTACCCTTTGCTACCGCCTACCATACCAGAAAAAAGGAGCACAAAAACCATTAGCAAACAGAAGCAAAGAGCTGTTTAACAATCAAACCGTGGCAAGAAAAACTGTAATCAATCCAGTTTGTTGTTATATTTTTCACATAAGAACTAACCTAAACCATAACCAAGATTTGAAGAACAATTAAATTTCAAATATAATTATCATCATTTATTATCAACTGACATAAGACGATACCAGGACAAGCCTACAACCATTTGCTATGACCGACAGTACTTAATTGCACAGTGGAGAAAGCTCAGGGTACAAAGCATAAGTAGCCTAAGACCATGCCGAATTTTATATAAGTAAACTTACCCAACAGTAACAAAAATAAAACTACCTGATTACTTTCTTTGACAACTCTACTCGTACATTATAGCATATTGTTCTTTCAGATATGCCATGACAACTGACAAGTAGCTCATCAGAAGAAAACTCTAGTAAAAATTTGAGATTCAATGCTGAATTTCATGCCATTTAACACAAGCAACAACTGAAGCAAGGCTAAAGACAGATTAGAACATGGAGCAAATATATATATTCCCTAAACGCATGCATCTTCTGATAAATTAACAGTTTCTTAAATAAGCAAAACATTCGTTCAAGACCTCATTTTCATCCCATTGCTACCAGAAACAAAGCGCGAAACCAATTCCCAAACAGAAGCAAAGTAAAACTGTAATCAATCCAAATTCTTGTTATCTTCTTCACACAAGAACCAACCTAAACCATAACCAAGATTCGAAGAACAAAAATAATCATCAGAACAAAAAGACTCTTACGTCTCAGACAACGCGTCGAAGATACTCTGCGCCTCTTTGGTAACACCAACACCAAGTTTCTCCATATCCCTGCGTAACATTACGTAAGCTAGATTAATCAAAACACGTGAAAAATTTCCGATTCAATCATAAGAGATTACAACAAGTAATCACCTAATCGCGATTTCCTCTTTCGCTATGAGTCCATCAAGATCAACCGAACGGTCTTTAGCAGCGAGAGGTTCCTTTTTGAATGTCCCCATCAACCTGAGATTCGATATGTATTTCGCATTCACCATCCTCGTAGTAATCGAATCCCCAGTGTTCGGCATCGGTCCGTCTTGTAAAATCGGTAACCGTCAAGGACCACCAGAAACATATCAAGTGCGATAACTTCTC